TAAACAAGCTGCTCTGTGAATAATACTGCGGCAAAGCGATTTTCTTGTTTCAATGTAACGTTTCAACAACTGGGTCAAAGCTTGCTGTCTCACCTTTGGTTCCTTAACTACAAAATTGACAATATAACCATTACTAGATGGTGCAACGTCAATCAGTGGAACAGCACTTTCCATCAATCCAACTTCCTGAAAATGAACATATTGAGATAGCAAACTTACAAAGCCATTACTGCTCCTACTGAAACTTCACCTGGAAATGTTTTGCCGCAAGATGAGAGTTATGAACGAGTTCATCAAGCGTCGAACTTCTATACAGTTCAGAAACCTGAAGTGCGAATTCTATAACATAAAAGGAGGATCTCACAGATCAATCATGTTTAGGTCATAACTATACAACGTTCAGACTTCGCGATGACGCGCAGTAGCGCGCCATAACGCGCGACGACGCAGAACGCGCTACAATCCTATACGCGAAGCAGCCGCAGAAATCGATCGGCATCCAGATGGCGGAACAGGAGGGTACCCGCATCACGCAGTCGGCTATCGATCGGCGCCGGGTGTCGGGCTTTTGGAGAGTGTAGAAGAATAGTAAAGTGCCGGATTATGAGAAGGCAGCGCCTGCCCTTGCCGGTAATACTCTCTCAAAACAAGCGGCCGGACCCGATCGATTCCCGTCTGCGGTTGCATTCGCGTCTATACTCTTGGGGTGCTGTTGCAATAGTAGCGCGTGGTCGCGCGTCAAAGTCTAAACGCTGCCTAACGCTCATATCTTTGAGCAAGTCCGTGTATGCAATAGAACATAGAACTGGCCTCAAAGAAGACCGAGCGCAAAACTAACCTACAATTCAAGGCAGTTTTTCCTTTCCGGCTTCATAAATAATTTCCAATAAATGGATCCAGGGATGTTTGTATGAACTTGTAGTGTTGAAGAGCAATGCCCTTCAGACTCTGACACCCCACTCCCTTCCGCAGGTCCTCCCCCATCCCAATTGTTTTGTTTTCACTATCGGAGGAATGTTTCCTGTTTTTAGTACTTTATTGCTCTCATGATGTAACCTTGCAGCCCATAACAAGTCGCCGAATCATAAATGACCGATGCAGGAGGAAAAACTGCTTCGAAATAGCTACAAACTAGAACAATGGGCTCTTCTACAAGAGATAGCTGCTGAAAGCCAGAGTGCGACAAACTAGGAGCAGGAAAAACGTACCTCTTTCACTAAAGCATCGTTTTTGGTAATTCGAATACCATGGAACTGTACCGCTTCGACAACTGTTGGGGCGTCTCCTGCCCGGCCCAGAAGCACCGAGGCCTAAAGTTGATTCTATGCTATGGCCAAACATGAATTAGGAGCTGAACGAAAAGCTGCACACTCACCTAAGAGTAGAGCCCTCCCATGTGCCAAATGATTGAGTCCGCAGCAATAGTAGTGTGCCACATTCCCCGCTCATTTGCGCACTAAAACAGCCGCTGGAGACTAGT